GTGGTGCACTGCGCGCCAGCCAGGGTCACGAAGAGTGCGATCAGCGCCAGCAGCGCGGCGCCCACCGTGAGCGCCCGCGCCGCCTGCACTTCAGAGCTCAGCGCCAGCACAGACTCGTACACCTTGCACTGCATGTGGCCGGTGCTCTGCACCACGCAAGTCATCCACAGCCCCTTCCAGGTGATCTGCGCCGTCACGATGTTGTGGTCCAGGAAGGCTGTCACCTGCCACATGGGCAGCCCACACGCCAGGATCAGGCCCAACCAGCCCAGGAGGCACAGCACTAGACCCAGTATTTCCAGCGATGCGGACCCCATGGCTGAAGGCGAGACGTGCGCCCGATGGTCCCCGGGCCGCTGGCACCAAACGGCGAGTTCGTTGGCTCGCTCCCCGCGCGCCCCGCGTGAGCCCTACTGCTCTTTAGCCCGCGCAGCCAGATCTCCGCCTTCCGTCAGCTCGCTCGCCGCTCGGGTCTGACCGCCACCCGATCTCCACCTCCGGACTGTGGGGACCTCCCGGGGGCTCCCCATTTGAAGTCTCCGGGGGCGGATCTGCTACCTCCGGACCCAACCCCCGGGACTGGAGCAGCCAATCCTTGCGCAGGCCATCGCCCGGAGCCAATCGCAGGCTCCCCAGCCCCGAAGTTGGAGAGAAAAAGGCCCGCGGGGGTGGCCGAGGGAGCAGGGACCGCACCCTGTCGGGCGGCAGACCCCACCCACCGTTGTCCCGGTGGCCACGAGAGCGCGTTCTGGAGTGGCTTCGGACGCCGGCTCCCTTCTCGGCCTTCTCTGTCGGGTCCTATCCCCAGCACTTCAGGAACTGCTAGGCTGAACTGCCCCTCCATCCTCCATCCCCGACCCAGCCTGAAGGTCCTTTACACGGGAGCTAGCTCTGCTTTTCCCGGACCATTGGCAGCAGGAGCCAACCCCTGCGCAATACCACCCTGCAGAGGCCTGCTTGGAGCGGGCCTCGCGGTCCTTTCGCTCAGTTGAAGTGAGTACCCTAGGCCTTTCTCCAGAATGCCTGTCCTGGAGATCAAGCCAGGCTGGTTTCCTGCACGCTCCCTCCCCAGTGCCCTCCAACCTCAGCACTGTGCAGGAGCCGTACCAAGCGGAGATGGCAAGCCCGTGGGAGGCCAGACCTAGGATCCCATCCGCACCCAACGAACTGCCCAACACCACCAACACGCTGCCTCCCTGATGGTCAGTCCTGGCACAAAGGGGGCAGCACCTACTCCGCCCCGTGTGGTGGCTTCCCGGACCCCTCGGCCGCTGCTTCCTTTGGCGCTGCTCATCCTCCAACCTTTGAAGCCCGGTCAGGCAGCACCGCTTATGAAAGTCCTCAGAGTTCATTGGCTCTACTCCCATAGGCTTCAGTGGCCCCAGCTAGCCAGCCTACTTTGGTTCTCAGACAGCAGAGACACAAAGGGACGTAGGGGCTGTGTACAACCCTCCCACCAGTGGTGCTGGTGCTGGTGCCTGCCTGCCCAGCCCCCAGGCCACCTTCCGGAAGCCCACTTGGAGTTTCCTGGCCAGGAGGAAGAGCCCCCATCCTTGCTTGAGGAGGGAGGTGCAGGGATTTCCGGGCATTCTTCTGCACAATGGCCCAGCCATTTCTTGAAAGGTCCACTGGGGTGGATGCTGTAGGCCCCCTAAGGCTCAGGTGGGGGCCCTAGGCCACAGCCCCACAGCAGCCTCCCCCCATTCTCTAATGGCCCATTTGTTTCCAGCTAGGTCTGGACTCCCAGCCCCAGACTGAGGCTGCTGGGTGCATTTTTTTCCTCTTGCTCAGAGTGAGTGCTCAGGCTCTCCGTGGAGTAAGTGGCTTTGTCCAGGCCAGTCTTCGACATGACTTTGATCCTCTCCTCTCCCCCGCCTGGGCCCCGGATCCCTTCTCCCTCTTGGAGATGGGTCTGAGGGGATAAGTGAGGTAAGGCCAGTGTCTGATTCCTCTAGTATGGGAAGGTGCTGAAGGCAAGTGTGCTGGGCCCTGGGGCAGAGCGAAGATCTTAGGTGCTTGCTTGCCTGCAGCCGCAGGTCCCTGAGAGTGGAGTGCTTCCTCCCAGCTGTTGTATCACTGGATGTCTTCCTCCTGCCGCAGATTTATAGATCACTTCTCTTCTACAGCCCCCCTGGAAGTACCCTCACCCATGCACCACGGGGCCCACCCTCTCGACTCTGCTTCTCCTTGGTTCCCTTCCGGGCCCTTTCCCAGTCCTTCCTCCGCTTCCCACACCACACCTGGGTCGACTGCTGCAGGCTTCTCAGATCATCCAGCCTTGACCCTTTGGGGTACAACCTGAACAAGGCTTTCTTCCTTCGCCTGCTGACCTGCTTCCCCTCTCTCGACCACTTTGGGCCCATCCCGGCCTGGTGCCCTTCAGTGGCCCCGGTGAGCTCCTCCTGTCTCTTTGACCACAGCCTCTCAGTATGTCCAGGACATTTTATGAAATCTCAGGCTGCATGTGTGGTCGTGGTACCCACTTGCAGTAGAGCCAGGACCAGTACAGAGAGGACCCGGAGGGCATAGGGCTGACACTGCTTTCATCAAACCTGCCCACATACTGAGGATGGCCTCCAGGTGACCTAGTCCGGGTCCAAGAGGGGTGTGAAGACAAGCCCATCCTTCCTCTCACTGGAGATTTGACCACCTACTGTGTGCCAAGCACTGTCTCTGCCAGAGCACACAGCACAGGAGGCTTAAGAGACTGAAAAACCATCAACCATTACCAGGACAGGAAAGAGAGTGGCTAAGACTGAAGAAGTTCCCAGCAGAGCAGAAGGAAACATGGCTGCAAATTCTTAGCGGTTCATGGGTGCATCTTCGGTGGCAAGTGATTCACTGGCGGAGCATTTGCCAAGCAAGTGTGAAACACTGGAGTCCATCCCTAGCAACAGCAAAAAGAGATAAAAGGTCCTAAGGGTGGGGGCCAGGGATTTAGCTCAGTGGTTCCGTCATTGCCTGATCTCTTGTGAGGGGCTCGAGGCAGGCCTGGTTATGGCCACCTGCTCACACACAGCTATTGTTGTGCTTTCCCAAGGGAAGTGCTGCAGGATCTCATTAACTGTGCGAGAGAAAGGGCCTGAGTCGGCAGAAAAGCGGTTTATCTTAAGCAGCTGCTGGCTGACCCCTGCCCCAGGGAGCCCCGTTGGTCTTCCAAGGACAATCTAAATTTAGGCTCCAGGTTTCTGGGCCTTGAGGTTTGGGAAGCTCCTAGTTGACAGATTTCATTTCAGGGGAAATGGAAAACAACACTCCTTCCATCTTTTAGCTTTGAAACAGTTGGTTAAACATGGTTACCTCCCATTCAGCGGATGTGCATGGCAGCTGGTACCCTTTCTTGACAGGAGCTGAAAGCCTTACTCCTGCCGGTCTATGGCAGCAGCTTGGGACTTCCTGTGTTTCTGACCACTGATGAGAGTAGGCAGCCATGGGTGCCACCAAATCTGTGAGGAGAGCCTTGGATAGCACCTCGCTTCACCGTTGTTGGTCCTGCTGCTGTTCTCTGTGGCCAAGAGCAGGCACGGACTCAGATTCACCTCTGCAAGCCGTCAACTTTCTGGACTGGTAACCTGGCCTTAATTTCCCTGTGGATGACGAAGCCCTATGCATTCGAGAATGAGGTTGCAGCGGTTGGTGGTGCTGATGCTGATCTGTCCCAGGACCTGTGCTCCCCTTCTTGAGAGGCTTTTGGTCCTGTGACCCTCATAGCTCATCTGACCTCAGTCTCCTCTCTCAGGATGGGTACGACTGGCTATTTGTCAAAACCTAGAGCTATTCTGGCTCTAACTTCCTCAGCAAGCAGGAGGACCAGGGCTAGGGACCTCTAGCGGACAGAGGCCTTGGGTCCTATAGACCCTCTTCCTATTCAGGGACTGTAGCACAGCTGGGCAGGAGGTATATACCTGTAATTCCAGCACTCTAGGAGACTGAGGCAGGAGGACTGTGGGCCGGGGTAACTTAATGACTTATCAAGATCCTGTCTCGAAATACAAAATGTTTAAAAGGCTGGAGATACAGCTCAGTACAAAGGCCCTGGGTTCGAGTCACAATACTGGGTGGGGGGAGGACTGCTTTGCTTCTTAGTGGTCTCTCCTCAGTCCTGGGCATTTCAGGAGCTACAGGGAGGCCAAGAAACCCCCTGATAAAGTGACAGTGGTATCTGCAGGATCCAGAACCCACCCTTCGCTCCTTTTACCTCTTGTGGCTGAAGCACCTCTGCAGCCTCCATCTACTTTCTCTTTTTTTTCTCTGTGTACTGCATTTTGCACCAGTTTCATGCTCTCCCACTTTATTTATTTATTTTTATTGTTATTGTTTTTGGTTTTTTGAGACAGGGTCTCACTACATAGTTGAGACTGACCTGGAAATCACTATGTAGCCCAGGCGGGTCTCAAACTCACAGCGATCCTCCTGCCTCAGCCTCCTGAGTGCTGGGATGACAGGTGTGCGCCACCAAGCCCAGTTTACACTCTCCCACTTTAAATCGTGGAGCTATTTAAGACTCTCCTGTATTGGTTGGCTTCATACTGCAAACACTTCCACGTTTTGTTAAAAATACCCTATGATTATGGTTGCTTACAGAGGCCTGAGATGGACTCTCTCTCTGCCAGTCATGGGTAGGGTGTGAACGTGGGCCGTTTATTCTGCAGTTCCCAAACGGAGAAATGGTAGTGGGCTTGATATCAAAGGCTTGTGAGGAGGCTTAGTGCCAAGCTCGTTCCGGCTCAAGATGGAAATTGACTTGTGTTAGTGGTGGGATTACAGTTGTCCCTGGCGTCCACGGAGGGTTGTTTCCAGGACCTCGTTCCCACCCCCTGAAAACCAAAATCCGCAGATGCTCACATCTTTTATGTAAGTGATGTAGTATTTCATACAACCTAGGTACGTCTTCCCATATACTTTAAGTCATCTCTGGGATATTTGTAATACCTAAGATAATGTAAATGCTGTGTAAATAGTCGCTCTACTCTGTCGCTCAAGAACTAATGACAAGAAAAAGCCTACACATATTCAGCACAGATGGATTAAAAAGAGTATTTACTATCTGTGGTTGATTCTGTGCACACAGAAGCTGCCGATCAGAGTGCTGCCCGCATTCTGGTAATTATCCACACACCCCTCCTGGTGTAGGTGTGTAAGTGTGATGGTTTAGATCTGGAATGTCCCCTCAAACCCTCACCTGTTCAGGCACGACTGGATCCTGGGGTACTACGCCCATTGGCGAATCCATCCCCCAGTGAGTTCAGGAGCAGCTGTGCGGGTGGGAGGTGGGGTCTGCTTAGAAGAGGTGGTCCCTGGGGTGTAACCTGGAAGGGTGGGCTCCCTGCTAGGCTCTTCCCTCTCTGGTTCCTGGCCGCTATGAGGAGAGCAGCTTTCCTCTGAGGCCTCTGAAGCTGTGAATCAAAATAAACTTCTCTTGTACTTTAAGTGATGAGTGTTGGGTATTTTGTCCCAGCAATGAGGAAAGTAACTAAGACATAGGTGATACTTTCTTTTTCGATTATAAATAGTACTATTCTGAGTGCCATTATTTGCAAGTCTTGATAGTTTGAAAGTTTTCCTGAGGAGAAATTCCTAGAAGTAGAATTTCTAAATTACATCCAGGAGGCTATATCATTGAGACTTAACTGACTGTACCTTTTCACAGCCTGTCACTAGTGTTAGATGCCCATGGTAATTTCAAAAATTCTTCATTAGTATGTGTTCACAGTATGCAGTGATCACGTTCAGCTTGGCGTATCGACACACACATTATTCTGGATCGTTTTTACTCCCTCAGCTCTCCTACCTGCCACAGACTTAAAAGTTTACTGTTTGCCCAGGTAGAAAATGGTATCTCATTTAAATTTTATCTTTAAATAATAATGAGAATACTTTTTTCTGATTTATACTAGTCATTTTTACTTCCTCTTGGGTGAATTGTCTGTGTACAATTAATACTGAGCATAAATGTTTCCCTTATTTTATATGTCACAACCATTAACTTGCTGCCATATATATGGCAGATATCATTTGCCATTTGTTTCTTATTCAATAATCATCTTTCCAGATGTAGAAATGTAAGTTTTTGAATATTCAAATCTATTAAGGCTTTCCCGTATGATTTCTATCTTTATTTTTTAGCTACCAAAAGATAAAAATTATTTTTAAAAAGTTTTCTGCTTAATATCATGACAAAGAGACTTTCCAAATCTGTTTTGTTTGTTTGTTTTGTTTTGTTTTTTGAGACAGGGTCTCACCATGTAGTTGAGACTGACCTGGAACTCACTATGTAGCCCAGGCTGGTCTCGA